CATATCTCCCCTCCATCTCCTCTTTTCTAAGCTGAAAAGTCCCAGTCTCTTTAGCCTCTCTTCATATGTGACCTGTTCCAAACCCCTCATCATTGTAGTTGCCCTCCCCTCTCCCACCCTCTCTCTTCCCCTCTCCCACCTCCTTTTCCCAGTCTCCCCCAGTTTTGTTCAATAAAGAGAGATTCTATTTTTGAACACAATTGTCCTTTATTTTGTACATCAGGAAGGGGGGCTAGGGAGGGGTAAGTGGAAGGAGGTGAGGGAGGAATGGGGTACAAGCCCCCGATGGGGAGGACTGGGCTGGCTCTGTGGGCTGCTCGGGGTGGAAGTTCTCCTGCAGCCCCCCGATGGTCCCCTCCCCCCGGATGGCAGCCTGCGGCATGTGCAGTCGGTCTGATGGCCGAGTGCTGTGATGTTCTGAGTGTGGGTACTCAGGGCACTCCAAGCCAGGACTGCTTTGCAAGCGGGGCACCCCTGAGAACTGTCTGTCCGGGGTGGGGGTGGGGGTGGGGTCCCTTTAAGCACAGCCCTCGGCTAGCCTGAGACAGCAGCTCCACGCTTTAAGTCCTACTCTGATGCCCTGCCGGTACTGGTTCCGGCCATCCTTATCCTCTGTTCAGGGTCCACTCAATGTGGACATGTTAGTTCGAATTAGCAAAATGCTAATTCGAACTAGTTTTTAGGTCTAGATGCCCTAATTCGAATTAGCTTAGTTTGAATTAACTAATTCGAACTAAGTTAGTTTGAATTAGCGCTGTAGTGTAGACATACCCAGGGGGAGGTGGTGGAATCTCCATCCCTAGAGGTTTTGAAGTCTCGGCTTGACAAAACCGTGGCTGGGGTAATTTAGTTGGGATTGGTCCTGCTTTGGAGGCTGGACTCGGTGACCTCCTGAGTTCTCTTCCAGCCCTATGTTTCTATGACCTCAGAGTGTGGGGGCACTAGGTAGGGCAGTACCCTCAAGGAAGGGCTCCACAGCTGGGAGGGACACAGGTCCTGATACAAGGTGGAGAACAAACGAACAGGTAAAGAGCAGGCAAGACACCAGTCAGAAGCGGGTGCTTCAGGGCTGATGTGAGCTAATTCCGCAAGTATCCAGCAAGAGACATCATGGTAGTGAGTTGTGCCATGTGACAGCCTCCAGTAAAAGAAAAACTATATTATGCAAAGGAAAGTAAAGCAACCACAAATCTTGGCCAATATTTACTTTATTGACTTTTGTCGTTCAGTATCTCAATCTTCTTCCCCCAAATAAGCCAAAGACAGAATAATAAGAAAGCATCCAATTGCTCTCCTTGCTTTATTGTTCCATTCCTGAGTTTGGCCTTCTTAGATATGCTGCCACTATTGGTTTCCCACTGATGAAGCACCAGCAGTGCTTTCAGTCCTATTCTAACAGCTTCTAATAATGCCAGACAGCTGTGCCCTGCCTGTCAGGCTGAGAAGAAGATCATAGAATCATAGAACACTAGAACTGGAAAGGACCTCCAAAGGTCATCGAGTCCAGTCGCCTGCCCTCCCGGGAGGACTGAGCACCGTCTAGACCATCCCTGATAGATGTCTATTTAACCTGCTCTTAAATATCTCTAGAGATGGAGATTCCACAACCTCCTTAGGCAATTTATTCCAGTGTTTAACCATCCTGACAGTTAGGAAGTTTTTCCTAATGTCCAACCTAAACCTCCCTTGCTGAAGTTTAAGCCCATTGCTTCTTGTCCCAATTTTTGCATCTCCTTATCACATCAGCCATCCAAGCTATTAGGCACAAACCTCCTGTCAGCAAACGTGGGGTTAAATAACTCATTGTGGTAATTTACCATAATTTTGACTATTATGAAAGAACTTTAAGACTCTGACACTCCACTTTGGTTTCCATGGAAATTGATAAAAAGGACATCTTTAAATTGCAGAATGCTGGTGTAGATGTGTCACTAGGAAGGATTTTGCATAATTTTCTCATAGAGCAGTTTAATTGTTATTTATGTTTTTTAAGAAATTCATAACGAAAATGTGGATCTATGCAGACCAGCCTCTGATCTGACAACATGAAGTGAAAAGTGAGGGAGAAAACAGTGTTACCAAACTGAAAATGTTGATAATTAAATCCCAGAAAATAAAAATAAAATGTATCCAGGTCTGACAAGAAAAACAGACCTGTTTATTGATGCTGCTTGCCTCATCAGACTTGTGGCTGTGACTTGGAATTGAAGACTCAGAAGGGTACCCAATTCTTCAGGGTGAACTGTTATACTGTTGTTTTCTGCTGAAGCTTTTATGGTGAATTGAGGTGCCAATGAAATCATAATGAATGTGACTGTGAACTATTCAGGTGGATGAAAGACTCCCATTGACTTGAAGGGCCTGATCCAAAACCAAACACAGCACAGGTAATATAACTGGCAAGTGGATCAGCAGTGGAGATATACTTTATTCACCTGCCATTAGAGTACAGCAAAGTGGTGAATGAATTAGATACTCAGCTGTGGAGCACTAAAATTCCAGTCTGATTTCCATCATCTGTTCTTGCTAGAATATTGCAAAAGCATACATAAAGGCACAGCCACCATAAAAACATACCACAACAAACAGCAGGCTCAACAGCTTCACTGGGTGTCAGGACTCTTCCTCACTCTGGAACTCTGAAAGCAGAAGATGGGAGCCCACAAGAGACCTTAAATAACTTGCCTCTATAGGCTCCACTTACAAAAACTCCCCAGAGTCACAGATTTACTGACTTTGGGGGGTAGCTGCCATGACCAAGTGAAACAAACCCCTTCTTGAACCCAGGAAGAAAGCACTTGGACTTCCTTCCCCAGGGGTACCCCAACCTTGTCTTCCACAAGAGAGCTTTTAAAAAGAAACAAAAGAAAACAAACTATCTCTGATAGCTGACCTCTCAGGCTAGGCACACACACACACAGGCCTTCTGTTTCTTTCCAGGACACAAATCAAATCATTGGCTTAAAAAGGTGATTTTATTAGCAAAACAAAAAGATATACCTGATAAAACATACTTGGTTTCTAGGTGTTGCAGACATATAGGTTAAATTCAGAATGAGTCAAAAAATGGAAGAACAATCTCACAAAAATGTTGACAGTTTAAAGTTATTTGCGTTTTGCAAGGATCAATATGATTTGACATCTTTTTCTGATGAGACTTGTTTGATACTGCTATTAATGCTAATGAAATAGATTTAGACATCTTTAAAACATTTGACTTGGTACAACATGATATTTTGTTGAAAAAACTAGAAGGAAAGAACAACAACATGGCACACATTAAGTAGCTTAGAAACTGGCTAACTGACAAGTCTTAAAGCTGGGAATCATCATTGAGCAGGTATGTTTCTCATGGGATTTCCTAGGGATCAATTCTTGGCCTTTTCCTATTGAATATTTTATCAATGACCTGCAAGAAAACATACAGTCCTCACAGATAAAGTTTGCAGACTACATACAGATTGGGAAAGTGGTAAATAACAAAGCAGTCACTGATATAGAACAATCTAGATTGCTTAGTAAACAGGTTTCAAGCAAACAACGTGCATTTAAATATGGCTAAATGTAAATGTGTGCCTGTAGGGACAAAGAATGCAGTCCTTGCTAACAGGATGGGGGATTCTATCCTGGGATATTATGAGACTGAAAAATGTGGGGGTCATGGTCAATAATCAGTTGAATATAAGCTCTCAGGGTATGTCTAAACTACATCCCTCTGTCACCAGAGGGATATAAATCAGACATACTGACATTGCAAATGAAGTGGGGATTTAAATCTCCCGTGCTTCATTTGAATAAAAATGGCCACCGCATTTTGCTGAGTCAGCAATTTGTCGGCAAAAAGTGGCTGTCAAGACGGGGATCGGGTGACAAAGAAAGCCTTTGTTGGCCGATCCTGTAAACCTTCTTTTAGAAGGCATAAGGGATAGGGTGACAAAGGCTTTCTTTGTCACCCGATCCCCGTCTTGACAGCCACTTTTTGCCGACAAATTGCTGACTCAGCAAAATGCGGTGGCCATTTTTATTCAAATGAAGCACGGGAGATTTAAATCCCCACTTCATTTGCAATGTCAGTATGTCTGATTTATATCCCTCTGGTGACAGAGGGATGTAGTGTGATTCTATGGCCAAAACAGCCAATAAAATCCTTGGATATAAAAATGGGCATATTGAGCAGGAGTCGGGGAGGAAGGGTTACATTACCTCTGTAGATGGCTCTAGTGTGACAGCTAGTGCAGTGTTATGTCCAGTTCTGATGTCTGCAGTTCAAGAAGGATGTTGATAAACTGCGGTGTTCAAACCAGATCCACAAGAATGATCATAGGACTGGAAAACATGAGAGAGTGTCAAGGAGCTCAGCCTATGTATTTTATGAAAGAGAAGGTTAGGAGGCGACTTGATTACATTTTCTAAGTACCTATATGGGGAACTACAATTTGATATTGGACTAACAGAAAAAGGTGCAACAAGATGCAAAGGCTGGAAGTTGAAGCTAGACAAATTCAGATGGGAAATACGGTGTACATTTTTAACAGCGAGAATAATTCATTATTGGAGCAATTTACCAAAGCTTGTCATGGATTCTCCATCACTGGCACCATTAACATTGAGATTGGAGTTTTCTTCTCAAGGACGTGCTTTAGTTCAAATAGGAATTAATTCAGGGAAGGGCTGTGGAATGTTATATAAAGGAGGTCAGACTGGATGATCACAGTGGTCCCTTGTGGCTTATAATCTATGAGTCTATGAGCATGGCCATATTCAGCACTCATGTTAAGGTGGAAAATACCCAAGGGATAACAGTGGAAAATACCCAAGGGAAGGCTGCAGGAGTTCACAGTGTGGAAAAGAAATGACAGACAAGATAATACAGCTGCTATTGAAGCTGTATGTGTGTTGAGTTATAAACATCTTGTCTGACCTGTGCAGGCTTGCCATCATGTTCATCATTGTGGCTTCCTGTCTAGCACTGCTTTGATGGCACACCGAATCACTGCACACGGAAAATAAAAATGACATCCCATTAACTGAGACTCAGGGAGCTGCCTGGAAGTCAGGGGATGGCAAACTCTGTCTAGGAGGAAGGTGTTATTTCTTCAGACCACTGAAGTTGAGTAATGAGACTGTGAGCCAAGGAATTTAAACACCAGGGACCTCCAGTGACTAGCAAAGGACAATGCAAACTGAAAAAAAAAAGATCATACCTGAGACCAGTCCGTTCCCTGCTTCTTCTCTTCTTCCCGGGGGGGGTAGAACACAAGAACAGCCATCCTGGGTCAGACCACCGGTCCATCTAGCCCAGTATCCTGTCTGCTGACAGTGACCAATGCCAGATGCCCCAGAGGTAGGGGACACAACAGGTAATCCTCACGTGATCCCTCCCCTGTCACCCACCTCCAGAGAAACAGTGGCTAGGGACACCATTCCTACCCATCCTGGCCAATAGCTATTGATGCACCTAACCTCCATGAATCTGTCTAGCTCTTTTTTGAACCCTGTTAAAGTCCTAGTCTTCACCACATCCTCTGACAAGGAGTTCCACAGGTTCATTGTGTGCTGAGTGAAAAGAAACTTCCTTCTGTTTGTTTTAAATCTGCTGCCTCTTAATTTCATTTGGTGACCCCTTAGTTCTTATATTGTGGGAATATGTAAATAATTTTTCCTTATTCACTTTTTCCACACCAGTCATTATTTTACAGAGCTCTATCATATCCCTCCCTTAGATTCACAATACCATTAACATTCTTCTGGACAATTTGCTGCTTCCTGTGGCTAGCCAGGGTAGAGGAATTCTGGAAAGAAGCCAAGCTAATGTTTATTCTCCACCTCTACTAATGCTGCAGCTCTGTTGACAAATTTAAAGGCATGGGGCATGCTCAAGGGTGCTCTCCCTCCCATTGCCCTCCCATCATGAAATCAATCCCAGAGAGTTTTGAACTGCCCCTGGAAGGCTAGAGGTGGTGATCATAGAATCATAGAACCATAGAGCTGGAAGAGACCTCAGAAGGTCATCAAGTCCAGCCCCCTGCTCTAGGCAGGACCAATCCCAACTAAATCAACCCGGCCAGGACTTTGTCAAGCCGAGTCTTAAACACCTCTAAGGATGGAGACTCCACTACTTCCCTAGATAACCCATTTCAGTGCTTCACCACTCTCCTAGGCTACGTCTACATTGGCCCCTTTTCCGGAAGGGGCATGTTAATTTCAGCGATCGCAATAGGGAAATCCGCGGGGGATTTAAATATTCCCCACGGCATTTAAATAAAAATGTCCGCCGCTTTTTTCCGGCTTTTAGAAAAGCCGGAAAAGAGCGTCTACACTGGCCCCGATCCTCCAGAAAAAAAGCCCTTTTCCGGAGGATCTTATTCCTACTTTGAAGTAGGAATAAGATCCTCCGGAAAAGGGCGCTTTTTCCGGAGGATCGGGGCCAGTGTAGACGCTCTTTTCCGGCTTTTCTAAAAGCCGGAAAAAAGCGGCGGACATTTTTATTTAAATGCCGCGGGGGATATTTAAATCCCCCGCGGATTTCCCTATTGTGATCGCTGAAATTAACATGCCCCTTCCGGAAAAGGGGCCAGTGTAGACGTAGCCCCTAGTGAAATAGTTTTTCCTAATATCCAACTTAGACTTCTCCCACCACAACTTGAGTCCATTGTTCCTTGTTCTGTCATCCGTCACTACTGAGAACAGCCTCTCTCCATCCTCTTTGGAACCTCCCTTCAGGAAGTTGAAGGCTGCTATCAAATCCCCCCCTCACTCTTTGCTTCTGCAGACTAAACAGACCCAACTCCCTCAGCCTCTCCTCGTAAGTCATATGCTCCAGCCCCCTAATCATTTTGGTTGCCCTCCGCTGGGCCCTCTCCAATGCGTCCACATCCTCTTTGTAGTGGGGGCCCAGAACTGGACACAATACTCCAGATGTGGCCACACCAGAGCTGAATAAAGGGGAATGATGCCAGGAAGATCTGAATTCATTAATCTATACAGGTCTTTGAAACAGGGGGCTGGAAGGTTCTAAAGAAGATTGAGCTATCATGGAGATCTCCTGATCTCACTATGTCATTCCCCTCTTTGAATCCTTTCATGACCTGCTGCCTCCTACTCACAGCAGCTCAAATTTCTCATCCCCCAGGTTCCTTACAAATAACTCCAATTTACACATTACAATAATGCCAGTCTTAGAATTATTATCCACATTTTACAAATGGAGAAACTGAAGCACAAGGAGAGGTGATTTGTCCAAGATCATCCCACAGAGCAGAAGCAGAGGAAGGAATTGAACTATCCTTTGTATCCCACTCATCCTGAAGCTTTCTTCCATGCTGTTATGGAACGCTAAACTGTGATATACGCTTTAGCCATTAGGTGGCACTGTGTGTAAAAATCCCTTATCTAAAAAAAACTTCAAAGATCTTATGATGAACATATCTCCTGTGTACAGTATAAGTAAGATCTGTTTGTCCAGTCCACATTTGGTGAGAAAGAACGTGACATGGTGTCAGGGGCGAATTAAGAACAAAAACCAAAGGAAAACTGCAATAAAGTTTTCAGAGAAAATGAACAAAGAAACAAAGGTTGCAAAGCCTAGAGAACTTCAGCTTTGACCAAACTGCAGAATACAAAGACTGAAAACAATATTTTGTAAGACTTAACATTCAAACCAAATTCCACCAAGAAACTACAAATATACAGATATCTTTAACTTATGCTATGGTGAAGCAGGCAGAGCATATCTTGAAATCCACTGACTTTACTGAAGACAGTCACAAAGATTACTATGAAAAGGTTCTGGCTATGTCTGAAGCATGCTTTCTTGTCTGAGAAATGTGGTTTATGAAGGAGCATGTTGTCGGAAAAGAATTTAACAACCAGGAAAAAATGTTGCATGTTTATAAAAGCTTTGCATATGTTGCCTGAAAGCTGTGGTTTAGGGAATGCAAAACATGAAAATGTCAGAGACAGGCTGGCTATCGGATTAACAAAAAACATCTTTTCACGGCAGCTACAGTTGAAGACAGATTTAACTCTAACCACAGATACATAGTAAAAAACAGTCAGAATTTGGCAAACAACAGAACAAAAGGCAGGAGTAACTTGAAAAACCTGAAAATAGCTTTGAAGCTATAAAAAGACACATGAATATTAAAAGTCATTATCAGATTCCAAAGTGGCCAGAGAGGAAGAGCAGCCAAATCTGATAAAAGGATAAAAGAGCTGGTGAACATGTTACACAACGGAAGTGGCTTAGAGAACTACTAGCTTTAGAACCTGGTGACTGTGTTGTTATCAAATCGGATGGAGAAAAAGGATGGACAACTCCAGCTGTTGTGAAGAAAACATGTTTAGTACTCAGATCCTATGAAATAGAACCCAGCAATGGAAAATTGCACAGAAACCACTGACACCTATAGTTTATTCTTTCCAAAGAACAATGCACATGCTACTGGACAGCCTGATGCCAGTGTTGTTATGCACAGGGCTGGCTCGAGCCATTCCTGCACCCCAGGCAGCGGGCACGCGACGCATGTGCGGCTCCGCCTCCGGGCATCTGGCACATGCGTGGCCCCATCCCCCGCCGCGCTGCACACCTTACAGCTGCAATCGGGCACGCGGCACCTGATGGCAGCTCTAAAGGGCACGGCGTGGCCCCCAGCCCCAGGCATGCAGCGCCTGATGGCAGCTCTAAGGGGTGCCGCACAGCCGGGCACACAGCGCCCCTTACAGCTGCCATCAGGTGCCCCTTAATCTGACCCTGGTTATACATTTGGACCATGTAATTAGACAACTAGTATGATTCAGTGACACTCAATAGACTGATGCATACAGAACTTCAAAGATAGCACCATAGTGTACCTTTTGTAAATGATGGAAACGTAGAACTTAAAGGGGGAGATGTAATGGAATGCTAACCTGTATTATACAGTCCAGCCACAGTGATGAACCTCAACCATACCAGAGGTCATGTACAACAACTGCATCCAAATGCATAACAACTGCAGTGGTCCAAATGCATAACAACTATTTGCAGAGCATTAAAGGATTTTATGATGACTACAGCTTGTGTGTATAAGCAAGGTCTGTGACCAATCCTATCTGGTACAGAAGAACATGACATTTGCCATATCTAATGTCTATCTGTAAGAAGCAAAGACACAGCTCAGAGGAGCTGTACACCACATAGTTTACATCTGTTACAATGGATGCCCTGACCTCCCACAACATTAACATTGGGCTTGGCTAGGTCAAATAATCATGAGATTATCAGTGACAAACAAGATGCAGTTAGCCCAGGCGCAATGCAGTCTTTCCTGCTGCCTTGCTATAGAAGCAAACCATATGAGTGAAAGGTTTGTGATGCTTGTTGCATTCTGCACTCCCTGCTGTTTGCAGGGTAGGAACAAAAATGCACTAGGTGCGGTTTTAAAATTAATCAATGTACAACTGCAAAAATGGAATACCTGATCTGATGCAAAAATGACACAATGACAGGGAAATCTAGAGCACAGAATCAGCAAACTGTTATTGAAAGAAGTCCTTTTGCTGTGAGATGCAAGCAAGAACTGTTTGCCTTTTGGAGAGATTAAACAGATTAAACAGATTAATCAAATATCCTCACTTGGAAACCACTGTTTGTGAGTGTTGCTGGTTCAGTCATATTAACAAGCTTCTTTAACAACAGCCACATAAAGCAATTTTATGTTCTCCCATCAACACACTCTAAGCTACCATAATTCAATTTTGTACATCTAGCCATGAAAGGATGAAGTTGTGTTTTATTGCAGACACATGCTTAGGAAGATCTTCTTGCAGTTATTTTTGAGGATGGGGGAGAAGCTTTTGGCTCTATGAGGCTTTTTGGAACTTCAGAAAAATATTTAGATAACTTGTGGACATCTGAGTATTTAAAAAAGGCTTTTGGAAAGCGAGAGTCAATTCATTATTTTTTACCACATCCCTAAAAGCCCAAGGCGAGCCTCAGTGCTCATTCAGTTCTAAAAGCTCAAACATTCACAATGTTCAGTATGTGAGGAGTATAAAGACATGTTAAGTTGATAAATGGATTGTGGATTAGGAAAGCCCTGAAACCATGTGGGCTGGCAGGCTTGAATCTGGAACCAGAAAAAAGATACGAGGCATAATTTAGTTTTGTAATGTGTTTTGAGATTCTTCGATGGCAGTTGCCATGGGCATGCAAAGTACCACTCCTGTACCTTCAGCTGAGTTGTGCCCAGTGATGCCCTACAGCAGCGGTCTCCAACCTTTCTAAGCACAAGATCACTTTTTGAATTTTAGCGCAATCCAAGATCTACCTCATACCCAAATACCCTTGCCCCACCTCTTTCATGCCTCTTCTTCCAAGCCACATCCCTGCTCACTCCATCCTCCCTCCCTCCCCCATCCTCTCTCCCTTTCACCAGGCTGGGGCAGAGAGTTGGGACACAGGCTCTTCTTGTCTTGGGGATTTGGAGTGTGAGAAGGGCCCTAAGCTGAGCCTGGGACAGAGGTTCAGGTGCTGGGGGGGGGGAGGGGGGGAATCACTGTACAGGCTCTGTAAGGGAGTTTGGGTCCTGGGGGCTAACGGCTAGGACAGGAGCATGGGGTACAGGAGGGGGTTCATGACTGGGGAAGGGGATTGGAGCTGGCTCCAGCTGGACACTGCTTATCTCAGGTGGCTCCTGGGTGGTGGTACAGTGGGGTTAAGGCAAACTCACACCTGCCCTGGCCCTGCACTACTCTCAAAAGCAGCCAGCAAACTCCCTCCCAAATCCTGTTGTGCTCCCCTCTGTTCTGTGGAGATAGGATACAGGGTGGGAGGGAGGCACCCTGACATCAGCGCCCCCTCCTCTCCCTTTCCTGCCTTGAACAGCAAGCAGGAAGCTCCCAGGGAGGGGGAGCTCCAAGGCAAAGGGCAGGAAAAGCACAATAGTGTGGGGTGGGGCAGCTGAAGTGCTGGCACTTGATAGCCACTTGGACAAACCAGCCAGGATCACCTGTCAGAGGCTCCAAGATCTACCAGTAGATCCCGATCTACTGGTTGGTGACCACTGGCCTACAGTTTTCCAACCCCTGCTTCTAGGAGTCAGTGTGTCCGTGCACGTGTAGGAGACTAAGAGACTGATCAGCTCTGCAGAGCCATTATCTGTTCTCATGGTCTCCAGTCTGATGGGGAAAGGAAGGTAGGTGGAAAATGCTCCAGTGAGATGAATCGGCCAACAAAAATACTGATACTACCAGGCCTGGTTAATAGCCAGGTCAATGCGCTGGTTGAGCCATGGATTTTTTCCCAAAGGATTTGCCAGTCTCTTTCTGAGCAGTTGTCCTGCTGTTGCATCCTTTTCATGTTTGTCTGACCTGGGCAGGAGAGGGGAGGGAAACTGCTGCTCCTAAGGAGGAGCAGGGGAAAGGAGGCATACAGAGGAAGTCAGGAAGAGCACATCTACACAGCAGGGCTAAAGCTGAATTAAGCTATACAACTTCAGCTACGTCAATTGTGTAGCTGAAGTCGAAATAGCTGAAGTTAGCTTTTGGTGTTGTCTACACAGTAGGAAGTCGAAGGAAGAACACTCTTCCTTTTACTTCCCTTACTACTTGTGAAATGGAGGTTACCATGAGTCTGAATAAGAAGTCCTCCAGCTCGACATTATTTAGAAATAAAGGCCTGTAGTGTAGACGCACACTATGTTATTTCAGAATAACGTATATTATTTCAGAATATTCCAAAATAACGCTGCTGCGTAGACGTACCCAGACAAAATAATGCCAACCTACAGGAGAGGTTCATACCTCAGTGGAGAGTGAATATGCCAAACTATAGATATTGTCCCAATATTGACCATATAGTTCACAAAATGTATTGTGCGTAGAACATACTTGTAGTAATGTTTAATGACTGCCTCAAATACTGTGAAGTATGAAGGGTCTGGCTAATCTCTCTTTTATGTTTAAGATCCAGATGATGTTTCAATAGGCACGATGTAATAGTGAAATCTGTTTAAAACAGTGTGTCGTTTATAGTCTCTAATGATGTTGACATCAAGTGATTCCACTGACTGGTGCTTTTGGTAAAGCTATAGAGCTATCCCTGCTATCTACTCCACCACCCCACCACCATATAAGCTCCCTTGTGGCTGAAGCAGGCACTGGCTGGGTTTGATTAGAGAGGAAGTTATGGCATGTGCAATATTATGTTTTGAAATAATTCAAAGATGCCATACCTTGAAGAGGTTACATACCTTGAAGAGTTAACAGAAGTTCATCTCCTCCAAAAGTTTCTATCATGATACTCCAATTTAGTTCCACTTTGCTCTGGTTCTTGTTCTCCTCCTCACTCAAGATGAAAAGATGAGACTGATACAGTTCTCGCCTTCCAATCCCTGCTTCTAGAAGTCAGTGCATCAGTGCCTGTGTTGGAGGCTGTTATGCTAGTGAAGAAATGAATGACATTTCCTTATTCTATTTTTCCACAACTTTCATCATTTTTTAGATCTCTAAGAAAGGGGTGGCCAACTCGTGGCTCATGAGCCACACGTGGCTCTTCTCCCCCAAAGTGCAGCTCACGAAGCCGCTCCTGTGCCCCCCCCATGGCTCCTGCCCCCCCATCCCGGATTCCTCCCAACCCCTGGCTCCCCTGTGCTCACTGGGGCGGCGATTCAAAATGGCACCCAAGATGGCGGCTGTCAATGGGAGCCTGATATGGCCAAAAAGCCTAAGCTTGTTTCTTAAAAGGGCAACCTCCTATTTTTTTTTTTATTTTTTTTTGCTTGAAAATTCTGCTGCGGCTCTTAACATTTTTTCCCCCGCTGTTTTGGCTCTCTCTGTTAAATGGGTTGGCCACCCCTGCTCTAAGATAATCCCACTCACCCTTTAGTAATTTCTTTTCCAAGATGAAAAGTCCTAGTCTTGTTAATCTTTCCTCATATGGAAGGTGTTCCTTGCCCTAATAATTTCTGTTGCCCATTCTGTACCTTTTCCAAATCCAATATATCTTTTTTTAGATGGTTTGACCAGATCTGCATGTAGTATTCAAGATGTGGGCATACAATGACTTTAGGTAGAGTGTATAAAAATATGATATTTTCTGTCTTATTATCTATTCCTTTCTTAATGATTCCCAATATTCAGTTGTGTGTGTGTGTGTGTGTTTAGACTGTCACTGCACACTGAGCAGATATTTTCAGAAAACTATCCACAATAATTCCAAGATCTCTTTTTTGAGTGGTAACAGCTAATTTGAACCATATCATTTTCTATGTATAGTTGGGATTATATTTTCCCATTACTTTGCATTTATCGACACTGAATTCCATCTGCTCTTGTATTGCCCAGTCACCCAGGGTATGTCTACACTACCCCACTAGTTCGAACTAGCGGGGGTAATGTAGTCATCCGCAATTGCAAATGAAGCCCGGGATTTGCATGAAGCCGGCCGGCGCCATTTTTAAATGCCGGCTAGTTCAAACCCCGTGCCGCGCGGCTACACGCGGCACGGAGTAGCTAGTTCGGATTAGGTTTCTAATCCGAACTAGCTGTACTCCTCGTGTAGCCGCGCGGCACGGGGTTTGAACTAGCCGGCATTTAAAAATGGCGCCGGCCGGCTTCATGCAAATGAAGCCCGGGAAATTCAAATCCCAGGCTTCATTTGCAATTGCGGATGACTACATTACCCCCGCTAGTTCGAACTAGCAGGGTAGTGTAGACATACCCCCAGTTCTGTGAGATCCCTTTTTCAAGAACATTTATGAGAAGTTTAACAGCAGTGATCCAAATGCAAATCCTAGCAGCACAACATTTATTCCCAGGACTCGACAAATAATGCAATCTACTCACCCATGGCGAGTAGATTGCAACCCAGAAGAGCCGGGTTCAGGCGATCTGTGCATGTGCAGATCGCCGGACAGCACAGCTCTTTCCCCCCTTATCTTTTAAGAGGAGTACCCAGAAATGTTTTCACAATGATCTAACAATCCTTCAGTTACTGGAATGCCCAGCCTTTTGTTATTCGTAATCACCTGTCTCCCTCTTTTTATAATACTCCCTGCCCAAAAGGCAAAGCTAGAAGCAGCTCAAACACTGCTGCATTTAAGAACTGCCTTTGGAATCAGAGCATGGGATTTAAGTAGACCTCAAGTATGAAATCCAGGGGTTCTAACTTTGGGGAGCTACTGCCCTCCTTCCCCCCATATATGGTGACTTTGCCCAAACCTCCCAGCACTGACCCCCTGTGACGGGATATATTAACCCTGCACTGGGGAACAGGGAGTGAGCTCTGCTCTACTGGGTGAAAAAGCCCCTCCTCCACTGCCCTGTTGGGCATGCTCACAGTGGAACCTGGCTATAAAAAGCCCTGGGGCAGTTCAGTAGGGGCTGACCGCTGACAGGGAAGTAGCCTCTGAGATGCCTCCAGAGAGAAGGAGTGACCAGAACTTCCAGCAGCAGTCCAGAGCTACTATTTGCAGGGCCAGTGGACAGCGGAGAGATGATGGGAGAGAGCTGGTAGGAAGTAGCTCAGGGTGTGGAGTAACCCCAGAGTGCTCAGCATGTTGTGGCGGGATTCCCTGCTGAGCGTGGCAGCTGCCTCAGACCCTGCCTACAGGGCGCTGGGCTGGGACCCGGAGGAGTGGGAGGGCCTGGGGCCTTCTACCCAACCCCCATAGCTGTCTTGAGAGGCCGACACCCCTGTGAATTAGGCCTAAGGGCCATATTAACCCTGGTATGAGGGACTGGGGTGACTGACTTTGGCCAATGGGCCATATTGTCTCTAGCGAGGGGCCTAAGCTCGAGGGGCCTTCCCGGGGATGGTTTTCCCTCTACACCCCACCCCCCATGCCCTCATCCCCCAACCTCCAACTCCCTGCCCTTATTCCTGAACCACCCAAACTATCCTGCCCTGAGCTCCCCCACACTCCACCCCACACTTATATTTCTTACAGGCACTGTCATAACACACACTCCCACCCCCCTTCCCTGAGCACCCTCCTCCCCGCCCTGCCCTCAAGAGGTGCGATATGACAGTACTTGTAAGAAACAGAAGTTACTTTCACCCCTACAAAATACTAGGCACAATTACAACTATGAAAACTTATTTAATCACTCTTCAATACACTGAGAAGAAGAAGTAAAATAACTAACATTAGCTAAGCAGTAGTGCTCAAGACGTGAGCAGTGAGGACAGGGAGACCCAAAGTTGTATCTTGCATACTTCCCCTCCCACTCCGAACAGCTAGTTGCACCTGTTATTTATCTTTGGTGCAGATATCATTCATCATCTACCAAGGAGTTCTTTCCTCTCTGACCTCAGTATAGATGCCACAGTGCTACTGGAACATTTCTTACCAGATGCATTTTACAGGCAACTTTTGAACTGGAGGTCTGGTGCCCACCTGAAAGGCAGACCCTGCTTGTTTCTTCTCTCCTCCTCCATCATGCTGCCACAAACTGCTGCTTTCTGCTCTCTTCAGTCTTTTCACTCTCCAGTCCCTTCTCTGAACCAGCACAGCTTTTGGTGTACAATGAAAATTCAGGACACAGGAACAGGGTATGTCTGACTTTATTTTTTGGATTCTCCAGGAAGAACAGAGGACTTCAGGTTCACAACAGCTCAGAACAAATGCAACATGTAAAGCAGTGGTGGGCAACCTGCCAGCCACGGGCCACATGCAGCCCGTAAGGGTTCTGTGTGTGGCCCGCCAGACATTTTGGTTTCTGTTGCTCATGTCCAGGGTTGCCAGATTCTGCGGGTTTCTGTCCTTGTTGGTTTTTTTCCTACCATTATGATTAAAGTGACACGCACATAAAGCAAGGGCACGTGAAGTGAGGCGCGTGCTGATTGCACACAACATTGCCCGTGAGAGCCGTGCGCTCCACCTGCACCCAGTCACAGCGCTGCTACGGTTCAATTGGCACACCCCACAAACTCTAGGTACACAAGCACAGTTAGCAAAACTGCCCCCTCCTGGGAGACTGTCTTGGTTACGATGATCTTGCAGCTCACTGAGATGGAGGGCTGCTCATTAGCCTAGGTTGCCCAGCACCGGTGTAAAGACTCCCTATGCAAGCTGGCAATGTGCATTCACTATGATTACATGCAGCTTCATTCTGCATGCCTACAAGGCGCTTGTGCTTCTGTGGAGTGAGCAGTGTACAATGGCGCTCTCAACATCACCCATGGCATTAGCTACTGGAAAAGACTCTGGGGCGGCACCAGAATAAACAGTGCCTGGATGCCCACAATTTGGCCTTTTAAAGCCCTATTTCCAAGAGCCATGGGTCAGTGCAGTCACACAAGTAGCTAAATAGTCCACAATCTAGTTTGAATTTGGTGGGAGCTAGTTTTGTTTGGGATGGAGCTCTTGGTGTTTTCCTGCCTTCATCAGGATTTAGTCCTGTCCTGGGTAAACTAACACTTGCTAATGAACTTGGTCTGGTTTCCCTCTGAAGCAGCTGGGTCACATGTCATGAGGACACTCTGACCTCTTCCTGCGATGGAGGACCAGTGGGGAGCTATCAATCCATGGCTAGCACTTCGGGCACTGTACAGGAACTACTTTGGAAAAGGTTCTGTCACAAACTACTCACAGCTAGAGTCAAGAGTGAATCAGCCTATTTGTATGTTGAATTAGAGAGAGGTTGGAGATTAACAACAATCAGGAAGCAGAGTGACTGATCTGGGAGGAGAGATGAAAGGAGCTAAAGAGGCAGAGCTTAGAAAAGAGACATCTTCCTCTAGACGTGATAATCAGCGGCATGGATTTGAAAGGTGTGGCCAGGGTAAGGGGATGATACTTTTAAAAGAGATGTGTAGATATTAGTACAAACATTCTGAGCTTGGCTGTGGAAAGGTCTCCCAAAGGAGATGGTGAAACTTGACAAACTACTTGCAAATGTAATATAGGGAACAAACCTGTAGGCCCTTGGCAGATGGACTGAATGGTGTCTAAGAGATTTCTTCAATCGCCTATGACTCTGTGAGGAAGCAATCAGTAGTGAACAGGTCACAGACAACTTTGGGGTTGTGTTTGTGAGGTACCAGTGAGACTGCAGCCATTTTAGTTACTGTCAAATACTCCCACACAAGAGAGTATTAGTAAGAAGACTAACTGAAAGTATCCTGTGTTGCTCTTCTGCCTGAAGAGAAATCTGTTGGGTACCATTTCTAAGGGAGACGCCATGGCTGATCAGTCATTGTAATGACTCCTAGGCTAAAAGGACAGTCCTCAAATATTAACAACCAGGACTAGAGTTCACTCTCCAGCACACAAGTTCATGGGAAAGTGAGTTAAGGGATAAGGAATGAGATTTGTAGTCCAATTCAGTAAAACAGGTCCTATGGCTGAATCTGGGGGCTGGCCTACACTACAGTGGGAGACTGATCTAAGTTACCCAACCTCAGCTACCTCAATACCATAACTCAAGTTGACATACTTAGATGTATTTACTGCAGTGTCTTCACTGCACTATGTCGACAGTAGACACTCTCCCATCGACTTCCCTTATGCTTCTCCTTAGGATGGAGTCAGGGGAGCTGACAGCCATCCTGGGCCCCTGGGCAAGGTGTGTGTGGGTATGGGCGGGCTGGCTTCCTGCCCCTGGAAGGGGCGTGGCTAAAGGCCGAAGGGGTGGGTCTGAGGGCCGTTGACCTTCAGCATTGCCCAGACTGTGCCCCCTCTTCCTTTCCCTCCCCAGCACTGCCTGGAGTGTGCTGCACGGTGCCCCCACCTCCTCAGGCAGCCCTAAGAGCTGCCTGGAGCATGCCATGTGGCACTCTAGCAGAGATTTAAAGGGCTTGAGGCTCTGGGTACCGCTGCTGCCACAGCAACAGTAGCAGTGGCTGGAGTCCCAGGCCCTTCTGAACCCCTGGGCCCTGAGCACCCTTTGCCCATTCTCCAACCCTGTCAGCAGGCCTGTGCGGAGTACTGGAGTCAATGGGAGAGTGATTGGCAGTAAATTTATCACTTCTATACAAGACACGATAACTTGACCCCCTCCGGATAAATCACAACCCTGTCAGTATGGCCCATAGTGAATACATTCCCTGTGAAGTCATGCCCTGAGTGTGAGCTGTTGATGATAAAAGAATGGCTACCCCATCTGCCTACAGAATCACTTCACAGCCTGCATCTAACTGGCTGCACTATTCTGTATGGTAGCGTGGGGCTCGTGGGAGACACTGAGCCAGATAATCGCATGGGCTACGTCTAGACTGGCATGATTTTCCGCAAATTCTTTTAATGGAAAAGTTTTCCGTTAAAAGCATTTGCGGAAAAGAACGTCTAGATTGGCACGGATGCTTTTCCGCAAAAGCACTTTTTGCGGAAAAGCGTCTGTGCCAATCTAGACGCGCTTTTGCGCAAAAAAGCCCCCATCGCCATTTTACCCATCGGGGCTTTTTTGCACAAAACAGTACTGTGCTGTCTACACTGGCCCTCTTGCACAAATCATTTGACCAAGAGGGCTTTTGCCCGAACGGGAGCAGCATAGTATTTCCGCAAGAAGCACTGATTTCTTACAGTAGAAAGTTGGTGTTCTTGTGGAAATTCAAGCGGCCAGTGTAGACAGCTGGCAAGTTTTTCTGCAAAAGCAGCTGATTTTGTGGAAAAACTTGCCAGTCTAGACACAGCCATGGTGTAAATTGGTGTAGCACCTCTTCTGTGGGACTATGACAGCTCCAGCAGCTGAGAACTTGGCCAACAGGCACATGCAAGGCAACTGTATATAAAACAAATGTGATTCTTCTGTAGATGGCTGTGCTGGGAAACAATATTAAGCATCTAAAGTACCCGTGAGAGTCTTATTCGCACATGCACACACACTCTGGCTATGTCTAGACTGGCCCCTTCTCCAGAATAGTCATGCAAAGCAGGCAAGTCAGAATAGGGAAATCCGCGGGGGATTTAAATATCCCCCGTGGGATTTAAATAAACATGGCCGCCGCTTTTTTCCGGCTTGGGGAAAAGCCAGAAAAGAGCGTCTAGACTGGCGCGATCCTCCGGAATAAAGCCCTTTTCTGGAGGATCTCTTATTCCTACTTTCAGGTAGGAATAAGAGATCCTCTGGAAAAGGGCTTTATTCCAGAGGATCGCACCAGTCTAGACGCTTTTTTCCGGCTTTTCCCCAAGCCGGAAAAAAAGCGGCGGCCATGTTTATTTAAATCCCGCGGGGGATATTTAAATCCCCCGCGGATTTCCCTATTCTGACTTGCCTGCTTTGCATGACGATTCCGGAGAAGGGGCCAGTCTAGACGTAGCCTCTGTGTCTTTCACATCCTGCGCAGCAGGTAAAGAATATCAGACTGCAGCCTCTTTTGTTTCTAAACATCAGGCAACCCCAGTGAAATGGCTTGCTTTTATTTTACTAGAGCTCAAGGCCTGCTTATGGCATTACATGAGTTATCGGTGGCTTCCACATACAGACACAGGTTAGGAAGCTGCTCTACAATGCTCTGCAGTCTGGTTTTTGTGTCGCCTCAAGCAGCAAATAAATAAATAAATAAACCCAAATGTACATTCGTGAGGTTATTCAGGTGGGAGCCCAGCTTGTCCGCTCAGTTCCTGTCAAGATAGAGCTGCGTGCAAATCTCAGAATTTCCATTACTGGTGCTGGTGCTTCGAGATCAGGAGGCTGTTAAGCAGAATCCTGTGTTCGCTCAACTGGGCTGGGTGCTTTGCCTACAAAATACTCCTTTTGCCATCAGAAATTACAAGACCATCGCAGCTTTCCTGCTGTTTGAAAGCGTATTTCCAATGGTTCGCTGCAGGGGCCTCGAGCTCTCTACCTTTCCCTTTGCAATATGGGTAAAGAGATGAAGGGTCCTGTGACGTAGTGGGGGGTACCTTGCTGGTTGCTATGATGGGCAGTGGGTTGTGAGTGACCTCCACTGGCTGCTGTCTTCAGCACAGCCCAGCAGGACAGGGAATGAGTCATTATGCAAGGGGGCTTCGAACCTGTCCAACGAGTTATCTCCGAGGGAGTGGAACAATGGGAAGAAGGGGAGTGGAGCCCTGGCTGGGGGCAGGGCTGGAAGTGAGCGAGTTAGGTTTCTGGCTGGTTTCATGGAGGAAGCAGCCTAGGTAACAGGCTGGGATTTAGGGGCCCAGGCTCCCCCATCTCAAGGGGGGCTGAGGCATCCTAGGCCTGCCCTGTAACCAGATTACATCTGTGCTGTGCTGTATCCTGGAGAAGCAATAAACTCCCTCTATTCTACTGGCTGGTGGAGTCTGTCCATGCCATTACAGGGGTGCAGGAGACGGGAAAACCCCAATGCGCCATCACAGGTCCCCTGAGCTTTTGAGATGCTGAGCTCCTGGAAGTGCTGGTCAGCCAGCTCCCCTGGGTACCAGTGGGGGTTGAGCATCTTGTGGACAGTGCTAGGCATCCGGTCAACCTCACAGAACCAAGCCCTTATTAACCAAACCAGGGTTTTTCATTTTGAACCCATTAGAATGTTTTAAAAACCCAGGAAGCTGCGTTTTTTTAACAAGGCTTGACCTGCTTGTACACTGATTTCAATACTCAAACAAGGAATTTGAGCCTGGCAGGGCTTTGGGGCTCAGGTCTAAAAACTAGGCTCCAAGGGTGTGGCGGATGATGTTTGACCATCAGGGTTAAAAAGTGAAAAGTGAAGCTGATCTCCCTGCCCCCACCCAGCATGGTGCAAAAACATTCACACCTTACAATCATTGGAGTCAGTGCCTTGGGGTCTGTGGGAATGTCGTCTGAGTTAGGGTATTTGAGTTAGGGTAACGTCGTCTGAGTTAGGGTATTTGTCTACACAAAGGAAGAGACAGAGAAGACGCCCTGGGTAGAAACTAACACAGAGTGAATCAGAGCAAACTTCAATGCCTCTTGTCTGTCTAGTCTTTGAAGGGTTCCTGTTTCATTGCCAGTTTCATCCACTGCCAGGGCCATGTTCCTGGCAAACTCTTGGCCTAACCAGGAGGCAGTGAGCTTGGCTTCTTTTCCATGAATTGGCCACTGGAGAGGACAGTCCAGCCCTAGAGCTTTCTTGCCTTTCGAAGTGATGCTCTCCAGGCTGGTGAGACAGGGAAACCCTGAAATGTTTTCCTCCTGCTTGGAGATTGAGCTCATTCCAAGCTGAGATACCCCTGTGTAGTTGGGCCATGCTTCCACTGTCTCAGAGTGGATCCAATTTGACTTGGCTGCTTCCTGGAATGTGGCTCTTTCAGTGCAGGTCAGATTCCCTTCTTATATCCCCCCAGATGTTTGACGCGCTGATGGCTCCTCGCCTGGTTCGCTGCCACGCCATCATCAGCTTCTCCTTCGGGTGACTTGCTGCAGGCGATAGGCTGGGACGAAGGCAGTTGCCAAAGCAGTAGATTCCCACAGATTCACCAGTCTCAGAGAAGCATGGCCATGCTCCTGCTTTCCCTTTCCAGAGCCCTTGTGAGCTCAGCATGGTAAAGACAACATTTCAGTCCATTCAACTTTCAACCATTCCAGGACACCCGGGGATCTCTGTGGAGCAGAGAGAAAAATGATCAGTTTTTTGCACAACAGCTTTATAGGCTAGAAAATACTAAAGACTCAATGCTGAGTCCCAGGATTACATTTCCCACACTGCAATTTATCAGCTAGTGGCGTGGGCTGTATGTATCTAGCAACCACAGACAATCCTGCTCCTGTTAGTGTCAGCGAGGAATGACTCCTTGGCTCCTTATGGCTTATAAGTGCATTTAACCAGCTAATGGAGCCCTTGCCCAGCAGGTCTACTCCCTGCATATGTGCGGCTCACGTTACCTCAGCTGAGACTAGAACTGGGAGACTCAGTGTGCACAGCTTGACATCCATGAATGGATAGACACTCATGAGGCACCGTATCCCAGGGGAATCCCTCTCTGGTGTTTCGGGTATTTACAGCGTCCATTTCCCTCCACTCTCCTCCATCCCATCATATGCAAAACCAACATCTGGCCACATTCTCTTCATGCAGCTTTAAACACTGTCACAAACAGTAGAAAGCTCAGAAAGCTTTTACTAATAGCACTTCCTGAGCTGCTTCCTAGAGAGGCTGGCTCACTGCACAAGAAGCATACAAACTCAACAAGAGCTGCTTGGGTCCTTTAGGGAGAGAAACTAGTTCCTGACATAGTTAAGGCGCCTCTCCCTCTTTCAATTCTCTGAACATAACTAGGCTCATTCACAGCTTCAAACAGCAGGCCTTGCTCTAGCTCCAGCTCCAGGAGCTTTACAGATGGCAAAATTGGTGAAGAACCATTCTAGGGGCATGAGCCCCTACCCCCATCACTTTCAGACACACCCAGGGGACACCATTGGCTATGAAGCACCAATGAAGCTGTACCCCTCTGTTCTCCTCAGTGGATGGTAGCTCTGCTAAGCCCCTTTTATCTGGAGATTGCTGAAGATGCTTCTCCTTCTGCAGGTAGGTGGAGCTCTGCTGTCACTGTCCCTACAAAAACAATTAGTAGTCCTGTGGCCCCCTAGACTGTATCTAGACTACATCTCTCTGTCAACAGAGAGATGTAGACTAGACATGTCGAAATTGCTAATGAAGCGGGGATTTAAATATCCCATGCTTCATTAGCATAAACATGGCCACCGCTTTTTTTCGAAATGGAGCTTTTTCTAAAAAAATGGCAGTCTAGACGTGGATCTTTCGAAAAAGGGTTTATTTTTCGAAAGATCCGTGTTTAGACTGCTTTTTTTTTAAAAAAAAAACCCTCCTTTTCAAAAAAAAGCGGCAGCCATGCTTGTGCTAATGAAGCATGGGATATTTAAATCCCCGCTTCATTAGCAATGTTGAAGTGCCTAATCTACATCTCTCTGTCGAAAGATAGGTATAGTCTAGATACACCTAGGCTTCGTCTAGGCTGGCATGATTTTCTGGAAATGCTTTTAACGGAAAAGTTTTCCGTTAAAAGCATTTTCGGAACAGAGCGTCTAGATTGGCACGGACGCTTTTCCACAAAAAACTTTTTGTGGAAAAGCGTCCGTGCCAATCTAGATGCGCTTTTCCACAAAAAAGCCCTGATCGCTATTTTCGCGATTGGGGCTTTTTTGCGGAAAACAAATCGCAGCTGTCTACACTGGCCCTTTTGCGCAAAAGTTTTGCGCAAAAGGACTTTTGCCCGAACGGGAGCAGCATAGTATTTCCACAAGAACACTGACAATCTTACATGAGATCGTCCATGCTTTTGCGGAAATTCATGAGGCCAGTGTAGACAGCTGGCAAGTGTTTCTGCAAATGTAGCTGATTTTGCGGAAAAAATTGCCAGTTTAGACACAGCCCTACAGACTAACAAAAAGACATAGTATCATGAGCTTTTGTGAGTAAAATCAACTTCATCAGATGAGCTGGAGTGGAAATAACAGAGCCAAAAATAGTTGTTGTTTTTAAAATGGCAGACTAACATAGCTATCCCGCTGCGACTGTCCCTACAGGCATTTCCACACAACCACCTTGTGATTTCCATTCACTCTTTGCAATCTCACAAACTGCTGAGTTGAGGAAGCACAAGCAGTTCTGGCCATTTTAATGGCTAAACAATACTTCCCCTCCCCGACAACAAGCCCTCCTCTTAAAAATGGCTAACTGTCACTTCCCTAATCTAGATTAGACACAAGTATTTTAGCTTTTAGGAAACTCAGCTATCATAATGGCGGCTTCGGGCATTCAGATGAACTAGGGAAGAGCACAGGATGTTGGAGAGGTTTTTGCTTTTTTTGGTTAAATTTGTGATCATATACCCTAGTGACACTAATGACAGAAGAAAAGAAGAGCTCTCAATTTTGAGAGAGAGAGAGAGAGAGAGAGAGAAAGGAAAAAAATATGAATTAATATATTCTGGGTCTGATTTTGTTTTTTATTTTTCAGTGCTATTTTAGTGAATGAGGATGATGATCATTTTGGGCTACTTTTATGGATCTTGGAGGGATAAGGAAGGACTTTTCAGTTCTATGAAAACACAACGAAGACTCAAATAAAGCTAAATTTCTGTCTGGTGTGAATGGAAGTCAAACTTCCATAATCATAGAATCATAGAGCTGGAAGAGACCTCAGGAGGTCATCAAGTCCAGCCCCCTGCCCAACTAAATTAACCAATCCCAAATAAATCAAACCAGCCAGGGCTTTGTCAAGCTGAGACGTAAAAACCTCTAGGGATGGAGATTCCACCACCTCCCTAGGAAACTCCTAGTGAAATAGTTTCCCTAATGTCCAACCTAGACCTCCCCCACTGTAACTTGAGACCATTGCTCCTTGTTCTGCCATCCATCACTCTGAGAACAGCCTTTCTCCATCCTCTTTCAAACCTCCCTTCAGGAAGTTGAAGGCTTCTATCAAATCCCCCCTCACTCTTCTCTTCTGCAGACTAAATAAACCCAAATCCCTCTGTCTCTCCTTAAAGGTCATGTGCTCCAGCCCCCTAATCATTTTGGTCACCCTCTGTTGGACCCTCTCCAATGTGTCCACATCCTTTCTGCAGTGGGGGGCCCAGAACTGGTTGCAATACTCCAGATGTGGCCTCACCAGAGCTGAATAAAGGGGAATAATCACTTCTCTAGATCTGCCGGCAATGCTCCTCCTAATGCAACCTAATATGCCATTAGCCTTCTTGGCTACAAGGGCACACTATTGACTCATATCCAGCTTCTCATCCACTGTAATCCCCAGGTCCTTTTCTGCAGAACTGCTACTTAGCCAGTCAGTCCCCAGCCTGTAACAATGCTTGACATGATTTAAATAACGTTGGCTGCCAGTTCTGTTTGTTTTCAAAGCCACCTCTGCTGTGTTAAATACAGACCCTTCTCCACACTTCCTTCCTTCCAACTTACAGTATCTCTGGCCTTGTGATGTGAATCACTGATAGTTTCTGCGGGGCTTGAAGATTATTTTGTGCCCTGCCCGGCAAAGATGGGCACTGAAGTGAGTGCCACATTTTTCTGGATAACATTGCTCAGCGTGGATACAGAGAAATGGGGCTTCCCTGGGAAATCATAGCAGCATTAGAACTGCACTGCTGAAACATGGAATGAACCCAACAGCTGGAAAAAAGGTTTGCAATAAAGTGATCCCAGACACTCACTAGGGGCCTGATCCAAAGACTACCAAAGGCAATGAATAGTCTCCCGTAGACTTCAGTGGTGTTTAGATCAGGCCCCAATGTGAGTAATACAGTAGAAGAATTGGCATAAACTTTCTGCTTTGGTTTTCACATAGAGATTGATTCCTGAGCTCAGGGGAAGGCTATTGAGAGTTCTGGCTTGACTAAGTACTCTTCCTTCTTTTATTGTGATCAGGACTCACAGGCCTAGGGCCTTGTCTACACTATGTGATAAGGTTGAATTTATTAAGGTTGATTTTTTAGCACCCGATTCTGTAAAGTCAAAGGTACATGTCCCCACTGCATGCAAGAGTTTTATGTAGTTCAACGTAGCACATCCCTATTGGGGTAGCTACTATCGACTTCGATAGTGATGCACTAGGGGTAGCTAATCTACAGTTACTGCTGTTCCTTTGTATTCTGGGTCGGGCTCCCAGTGCCCAATGGGACCAAAACTGTGCAGCCGGTGGTTCTGGCTTCATGTAATCAGCACCCCATAATGCAGGGGTTTTCAGACTCTGGCTTGCAGATTGTAAGGGCAAGCCATGAGACACTTTATTTACCTGCACCTCCACAGGTATGGGCAATCGCAGCTGCCATTGGCTGCGGATCACCAGTCTGGCCAATGGGAGCTGTGGGAAGCAGTGCATAGTGGGACACCTCTTCCCACAGCTCCCATTGGTCAGGAATGGTGATTCACAGTCACCAGGTGCTGCGATTGACCATGCCTCTGGAGGCTCAGGTAAACAAAGCATCTTGCAGCCAGCTTCTGGCTTATCCTTACAAGTCATGACTCAGAGTCTGAAAACTCCTGCCATAATGCACTCACCTCCTCCCGCCCTTGCTGCTTGAAAGCAACAGCAATCAATCTTTTTGCACTCCCCCCCTCCTCCAGGTATCCTTGCAGATGCCATAGAATGGCAAACATACACCTGGTTCACCAGCAAAGTTCTGTGGCAATCATAGTAAATATCTCAAGCCATATGCTATAGTATGTCCAGAGCCTATCCAGGGCCCACCAGAGTGAACAGGCCATGAACAGATACTTGTGTGAAGCACTTGAATTGTGCATTTGGCAGATGCTGGCAACATTTGATCCTCTTGAGACAGTGGAATGCCAGTTCTGGTGCCGTGAGACAAGCACAGACTGAAGGGACAGCATAGTTATGAGATTATAGGGAGATCAGCAGTGTCTGTAAAACTTATGCATGCATAAGGCCAATTTTATGGAACTTTAGGAATTGCCTCCCTTGCTGAAGTGCAGCAATAGCAGAAGGAGACCTGCTCCGACAATTGAGAAGCAAGGGACAATAGCCCTGTGGAAGTTTGCATTCCCAGACAGCTACTGGTCAGCCGGGAATCAGTTTGGAGTGGGAAAATCTACAGTGGGGGCTG